TGTAAAGGTATCATATTCATAACAATCTGTCCACAAGCAGATATAAAACCACAAGCTAAAGCAAAGAGAGCCGCCTTGTCTTAGTCCTCACTACAGTAGATGTCTCAGGGATCTTATTTACCATCACAGAACACTTGCATACATGTACTCAGAAGGTGAAAATAAGAGCAGCCACACTGGTAATCAAAATTCTGAACCACTCCTGCACCATATTACACCTCTCCACTGTCTGTTTACAGTTGTGGTCAGAAGTTTACACAAACTCAACAAATTCTGCCAAGAAGGGTGGTCAGCAATCCAGCCAGAACTATGCCAGAAGCGTGTTGATGGCTGGTGTCTGGTTGAGGTGCAACTCAAGAAGGGACATTTAGCCAAATATTAGTGGGGGCGTGTCTTTGTATTTGAGCCTGTGTGGATTAGAGAAAACTAAAATGAACTCAAAGCTCAAGCTTAAAGATGTATGCTGTACAATCAATTGAAAGAAAAAAATAATGGCCCAAAATTCTCAGGACATTCATGCCCATGATGAGTGAATTAAAACTTCTGACTACAACTGTATACATATACTCAATGCGTTGCACTTGTTTTGGACTGATGTAGCTGAATACACTGCTTCTGTCAGTTTCAATGTGGGTGGAAAAGTAAGGAGACTACAGCGCATCATTGCTTAATAGTAGTCAGGTCAGGCAACATACTGAATCAAAGTATTTGTTTTCTGAATGACTTAATATTTATTTCCTCTCCTTAAAAACACTCAAATTATATTTTTAAAGATATGGAGGGGGGGAAAAAAAATCAACATTTATATTCATCCATATCCCAAGATTTTGAAATAAAGTGTTATGCAGAGGATTAGGCAGGGCAAACTTTGCAAGTAGACCTGCACCGCCAGTTTGCTTTACTCCTTCGTATTTGTAGTTTGTAACAAATGCATCCAAATAGTATGTCCTCCCCCCTCCTCCTGTGTATTCCTCAACATTGAGGAAAGTTGTGTTTCATACTGCAGAGAGTGGAAGATGCCTTTTACACTCTGGTACGGGAGATCAGGCTGTACCGGGTCAATAAGATCAGCAAGGAAGAAAAGACTCCGCGCTGTGTCAAGCTTAAAAAGTGTGTTGTGATGTGAAGGGGTAAGTGTATGCAGCCGCACACCCACCAGCTCTGCGTGTGTGTTGTTAGTGGGAATTGTGGTGAAGGAAATGGAAGAAGACACTCAGTGAGGAGCTGGTGCTTCACATGTTCTCAAAGCTAACCTGCTGGTTTCTATTGGGGCTGTGGTGTGAGTCTAACATGAGGCTGAGGCAGCTGATGATTCCTGTCCTTTCAGTGTTTCTGTGTATCATGGTTGATTTTATTGAGTTTGTTTTCACACTGGATTGGTTTGCTGAGCCTAAAGAACTTTGATCTATGCAAGCTAGTCTACTTTCACACTGGTGGACATTTGCATTATGCCTTCCTTATATAGGGGTGGGGATTTTTTTTTTCTCCCCTTATTTCCATTATGAATGATGACTGTGCTTATTGAGAGATGTCAGAAAAACTGAACGCTGTAAGTAGAAAAAGCACGACTGAAGTAACAGTCTGCATAGAGTGAGAAATGTTACAAAAAAACCCAAACAAGTGCCTACCTTATTGCTCAACTCGAGCATAAAAACTAACACGGCACCAGGTTTGGGTTTGTTTTCTGACTGTAAAGCTGGGAGTCTGTTTTCTGTCCTGTTTTAATCCAAACACGACTACTGAAATACATTTTCCTATAATGAAAGAAACCTTCTTTCTGCACTTTGGCAGCCAGACCTTTTCCTTTTAGTCAACCTGGAAAGGGGTCTGCACTTGTGTTCACACAGTCAGATTTCCAGGCTAACCGTTCCTAGATTCAGACTACCAGTGTGAAAGTGTCCTAATGGGCTGAAATCAGCATGAACAATGGGGTTTTTGGGCTGGTTTAGCCATCATGTGTGATTAGAGGATGTTACTGCAAACATTGGACTGAATCATTTGCTGGAATGTGTTTCTGCGAAGGATGCGCTTTGAGAAAATGGCAGAGATGTGTCGTCAACAAATTGTGTGCGTGTGGTTTTAAGGCAATTTTTCCTGCTGATATAAATCCCTTCTTCTTTACTCTGTTTTGTTTTCCTGCTGTCTTTGTCAAAACCTTAAATTGGCCTCAGGCTCTTTACTCTACTGCTCCTTACAGATTATTGTCACATTTACACACCGTTCAAAATGTTCATCACACATTTACGTCAGTGTGCCATTAAAACGACACTTGCTGCATTTCCATGGAGCCTGTTACTCACCAATAATCTGAATAGGATCTTTGTGAGAGAATAAAAGCCTAATTTAAATACCTCTGTCAGAATAAATTGGTGTATTTATATAAAAACAAAACAAAGTTTTATTACCCCTTTAACTTTTTTTTTTTTTTTTTTTTTTTTAAAGGGCTAATTTAAATTTGTTTATTCATTGCTTGTGAGAGCACTTTTCCCAGCGGTGCATCTTTTCCACTGGAACTATATTTTATGAATACTTCAGGTACATACATTTTAAATCCTGTACTGGTGCCAGACTGTGCTGATGACATTGAGAAATGAAGCCCATGTAACTGCAGCCACTGTCTTTGATGTCAGTGGAAGCACCACTGACTTTTATTCTGAAACACACATTTTATTCAGCATGTCCTAAATGGTTCGAATCGGATTGATCCCCCGAATTGTGTCTCATTTACAGAATGTACACTTAATCAGAAAACGGTGTATTTAAAATGGACAGACTTTTTATTTGGAGATTTTGATTCACTTTTAGTAGACAAGTTTACACAGTGCAGTCATGAACAAAGCTTCTTAACTCTAACGGTGCACACTCTCTGCTTGTTTTCCAGGGCGTTGACGATGCCTTTTACACGTTAGTGCGAGAAATCCGGAAGCATAAGGAGAAGATGAGCAAGGAGGGCAAAAAGAAGAAAAAGAAGTCCAAGACAAAGTGTACAATTATGTGAATAATGATTCCCTTTTAAGACAAAAAAATGCAACTATGTTGAACAGTTCAAGTAATACATTTTGTACATTACACTAAATTATTAGCCTATTTCTCCATACCCACACAATACTAAACCTGAACTGAATTTTCTGCCTTTTCTTTTTTTTTTTGTTTTTGTTTTTTTTTTTCTCTTCTTATTTGCTTCTTTGGACACCAATAAGCTTCATTTTCAGTTTAGTGCCAGTTGCCCACAATATGGGTTCAAGAGCCTGATGAATTTAGGATTGTTATTTTTTTTAAATGATAATGCTGATTTGGAGCATTTTACAGAGCTGGGAGCCAATTGCATTGCAAATTATGTTTAACAAATTATTCATTAAACCGTGAGTTAATTTTCTCTTTGCTTGAAAGGTCATGTTCTCTAATGACCTTTTTAAAAGTATGGGATGCCAAAGAATGAATTTTCATCCCGCTCACGTAGACAATATGGATATGAAGAAAGGACCAACAGTCAGCCAGATGAGATCCAATCCCAGCCCCCGTGTTTTGTCCCCGTCTCTAACGACCTCTAGGTATGACTTAGCTATGCCACTGATAAGTATGCATGCAAACTCCTACTCATCTCTGAATGTTTTAACACCTTCATTAGTTATTAATTAATTTGTCTTTTCTTAGTACTGTGTGTTCTTGCCATGAGGTGAGAGAGATTTTTTTTTTTTTTTTTTCCTTTTTGCATGAATTATGTCCTAGAAGACATGGGTAAACTGCCTCTGGTCGATGGATTAAACGAAGCCAGCGATAAAGAACTCTGACTCGGTTGGACATAGTCTAGTTTTTCAGGTTTTTTGAAAGTAGTTTTTTGCTTTTGTTTGGTTTTGTGAGAAATAAATCTGCCTTTTTTTTTTTTTTTTTTTTTTTTTTTTTAAAGCAGAAATTCTAAGCAAGATATATATTTGAACCCATTTTTGTCTTAATAAGATGGGACTAGCAGCCACATTATGAGGGTCATTTTGTGTTGCCTTTTTTGACTTCGGTTAAAAGTTTCCTGCTTTTCTTTAGGCTAAGATTTGACTGTAGGATTGTTTTGATTCATCCTGACAAATAATCATTTCATCAATATATGCTCAAAAACAGCTGTTAACAGCTGTCCTCCTCCCTGTGGACTTCGTATTTGACCGTAATGTTTAGGTTCACTGCATAATTTAAGGTTTGTCCAGCAGCAGAACATAAGAGGCCACGGAGGTGTCTTGCGCACTAACTTCTTTGCTTGTGAGCAGCTAGAAAGCAGAACGAATCCTTTACGCAGCTGTCAAGAATATTTGTCTTGGTGTGGAGTCACAGAGGTTGTTCAAAATGTTGTCCAAATAAATTTTCAGATTTTGTTTAGCTTTTCGAAGAGGGTTTTGTTTTTTTCTTTCTTCCCTTCTCTCTCCTACTCCTTGGATTCTTTTGCTTGAGTGTTGAAATTGTTTGTTGGCTTGCCTTTCAACAAAAATGATTGTCCAGCAAAATAATTTCTTTTCTTTTTTTTCTTTTTTTCTCTCATAAAATGTGTTTAGCGTGGCGATGCAACTGGAACGGATGTTTGTAAATGAGGCAATAATTGCCATAAAATTGGTTCTTAGATTAAATCGTCTGACTTTATTACAAAAATAATAAAAAGTCCAGTTTCCTTCTGGGGTCAACCCCAATTTCACCATTTTCCATTGTATTTACAAACTGCTCATCTGGGTTTTTTAAATTTGCCTTTTATCTTTGCATTAGGTGCTACATATAGATGTTGGAAGAGCCGAAACATCATTTATTTTTCCCCCGTGTACTCTAGAGATACACAAAATGCTCTTCTAGGGGAGCGTTGTTATTCCCACAAAAAGTGATGTTTTGCTTTCAGGATTAATGGATTTTGACCCAGTTTATTATTACCTCTTTTGCTTTCTTTTTTTCTTTTTCTTTCATGAAGTAGATGATAACTGTTGATGCAATTTTTAATTATGGAACCCTCCTGTCCACAATACTGTTTCACAAGTAGTTTTACTGTAATGTTTGAAATGTTCCTCTTCCTTTTAATGGGTGCCAACAGCTGATTTCTGAAATGTATCATTTATACCTGGATCGTATTTTAACAACCTTTGTATAGTTGTGATAATGAGAGGTGCATATTTTGTAAATTGTGCTTCATTTCATTTGTGTCTACATGAATGTTGCTTTAATGGAGTTTCGCTCCGCTCTCTGTATGTGAACAGCGAGTGTGACTGGGGTCCAGGTTTAGGGAAGTGAATGAATGACCACTTTACATCATACCTGTGGTGGGCAATGTAGAGTGGTGATCTAATCTCAAATGAGTCTATTTTGCCATAAATCTCACCACTCCTATTTAATGTGTAATAAAGAACAAAGTAAAGAGGAACCCAACTTTTTTTTTTTTCTGTTTCCTTCATGTTTTTCCTCCTCTTCAATTTGAATGACCTGATTAGTTTTTTGTTTTTTTTTTCCATCACAGCACAACGAACGGCTGGAGAATAGGAGAATGTAACTGCAGTATTGACACAAATTTGCAGTGATTAAAAATAGGATCTCATTTTGTTCTTCTGATATTTGAAGACTTCGCCAGTCTTCCCAGTAGATGGCACTGTTCACTCAGTTTGAAAAGTATTACAGATGACAAGGAGCAGCTCTGAAGGCGCATTTCTCCATCTGCTCGCACTTGCTGTAGAGTCAGCCGTGTTCTACCTGGTACATTTTAAAGAATATAAAAGCGCTAAATATACTCAAGTCACAGCACAAATATTTACTTTTATTCATTTTGAAAATCATGGACAGGCATTTATGACAAGAATTAACCTCATGTACTGTCATCAGGTTCATTGCGTGCATGAATTAAGTTGATATATTTTAATATGTATAAACAAAAACATGCCAGTTTCATTAGGCCATGATGCACAGTTCTAACAAAGCAAAAGCTCCACACTTGAGGTTTTATTTGGGAGTCAGTCCAGAGTCCTGATTTGGTAAGAAAGCTCAGCTTTAAATATACACACGATCACATTTGTCTCGTATCCTTTCTTTGAAATAGCTTGATCTTATTCTCCAGGTTTAACATAATGAGCTCTTAATGTTATTTCATCTGAATGAAACCGGTTCAGTGCAGGCACCTTGACAGGAATCTAATTTTAACTGTAATTATGTTTGCAAAGTCCAAACAGTTGGTTAAAACCTATTTTAGCTCATTAAATTAGCTAAATCTAAGTATTAAGAATTAGCATTGAATGGTGAATACATTTGCTATTTTTCTGAATGGGACAACATCTATTATCTCTTAAGGCTCGTTACATGTTTATAGTATTCATATTGTTACATACAGATCCAAGTTTTTATACAGTGAAAAGCTGAGAGTTGTGATGAACTCTGATATAGTGATGTTAAAACATGCAGAGCTATTAATCAAAGAGACTTTAAAACTATTTTAATATCTGGTCCTGTCCTGTGTCCACATGTGACCTTACATCAGATGTGTTTCTTTCAGTCAACATTAGCGTTTCATTTATTCTTTTTCATTTGTACTTTTATGCTCCACCCCTCTAACTCTGACTAGATTTAAATGTATTTTTTAAAAGCATCCAAATCTTATTTACAGCTGTTCAGTACTGACAGAAAACCGCTCCAGAGGTAATCCTTAACTTTGAATGAGAAACCAAGGGTGTTTTTCAGTGTAGCATCAGAATACTAATACCAGGCTTTAAACTTGAAAGAAACTGTTCTTTTATATTAATGTGCAAATTTTTGGCTTTCACTTTTTGCATGTCTTTGGAGCTTCGCCCGTGGCATGTTTTTGTTCAATTCGTGTGTTTTTCCTCTCAAAAGCAAGATGCTGAACATCTTTCTATTACATTCTGACCTTTCTTTCAATCAAAGCAACACTCAGGGTTATTGAAATATATACATACAAAGACTAATGGATAATAATGTAGAAAACATGGCTGTTATGGTCATTTTGTACTCTACAGTCTTTCTCTTTAACTCTAGAGTATTTTCATTACTGTACCTTAGTGCAGTCTATTTTATCTCCTTTCCTTTTAAGCCAGCTATCTTCTGATTGGCTGTCTCAGTGACATCACAAAGACCCAAAAGTAGAGAAAAATGATCCGAAACAGACTGTTTAGAGAAGTCTGAAACCTGGTCTGGGACTCACAGGAATTCCTTGTACTTGCTGACCTTATTCAAGATGAGGATCCTCCATTGCACTATATAACACTCAAGTCCACTTTGAAAGACAACTACAGCACTTTGAAAGTAATAATCACTCACTGGCTGCTTTGTTAGGCACACCTGTTCACCTGCTCATTAATTGATATATCTAATCTACACATGGCAGCAACTCAAAGGCGTGAGGACATTGCCAAGACGACCTGCTGAAGTTCAAACTCAGCATCAGAATGGGGAACAAAGGTGATTTAAGTGACTAAATGTGGCATAACTGGAATGCACCTGCGACAGTTACAGAATTTCCTGATCTAGTTATTGTGGAAGATGATCCCTCCTTATTGTAGCAGAGACCGACACTCTCCTTTCATATTTGCCCTTACTATTGGTTTTAACTCCATGTAGAAAACAGTGCAGAAGGCTGTTTTTAAATCTAATTGGCTGGGTGAAGTTTTGAGCACGTGTTTAAAAATTATTGATTCAAATCAAGTACAGATAAATTCAGCTTTATTTACCCCCACCTTAAATGCTGTAACCATAATTTCCAAATTAGCCACGGCCCTGTTTAAACATTTCTGTCATTGGCAGTGTATGCCTTGTGATTTTGACATACTGCATCCATGCAAGGAGTTTTAGACGTCAGCATGCTGCTGCATTTGCATAGTTTTATAGAAAGTCCCTTCCTACCAGCCCTTATTTACTGCTACAGTGACAGAAGTTGTCCTCTGGCTTCAACACGCAGGATTGTGTGTTGGAAAACGAGCTTGTTTAGTCATATTCTGTGAAGGGAGATGTCATGTTGCATCAAAGATGAGATATTTTCCCTTGCAGATTTTCAAGAAATAAATGCCAGCAAGATCATGCCCAGAGACAGTATACAAGCTTCAAAAGGACAGGCCTGTGTATGTGTCATATGCCGACAATGCTGGGGTAATTGGCTGCAAAACAATGGTTGGTGTCGAGGCAACCTGTATAGATATATCCTGCTCTGTATTACAGTCTATTAGCCAAAACTGTTTGTGACACTAAAGTTGTAATTATCATTTATGAATTCTTTTTATGCTCTTAACCAATTATAAATGAAAAATAAACGAGCGACTTAAGCTGTTTTTGTTTGAATAGCCTATTTGATTGCTCGGTTTTCCTTTGTAATTATTCTGCATTGGATATGCCAAATAGCTTGTTTCAAAGGAAGTTAAGTTGTTTTCAAACTGTTGCTGTGAACAATAAACTATGTTACCATATTGTGACAAGCTCCATTACTCTGTCTTCCTAAACAATGGGGCTACGGTGCCTGCCACATACCAGCCAAGAGTGAAAAAGAGAGGAGATCTAATGAATTATGCAGAGAGAGCTTTCTCTCAGCCTGACAGTCTGAAACCAGCCTGGAGAAAATTGTAAGAGAAGTACAAGTCAGTTCAGCCATCACAAATCCCCCTCCCCTTCCCCCCAGGGACTGTCAAGGCCAAGGCCTGTCAGTCAAGCACCGTCTTCCTAAACTGTAATCTGGGGACAGCACCGAGAAGCCTGCAGGTCCGATAAAGCGCCGAAAAGATGCCCCAGAAACCAATCCACGATTCTCTCGGCTCTCGTCAACGAGAAGGTTGGGCTGGAAAAAGACACAGCAAATGTTCTTAAATTGCTAACATCACGCTTCAGACTGGGTCCACGCGCAAA